GGGGCGGAGATTAATTGTCTTAACAAGCGAGCAAGAACTATTATTTTTAGGATTCAGCCAATCAATATTAATATCTCCAAAGTCCAACAGTTCACTTTTTGGTTTTTGAGCTATAGTTTCACTAAGGAGATGGGCTATGTCAGATAGGGAATGCACTGGGGAGCTAGGTGGGCAGTAGATTCCTGCAACAATGATTAATTTACTGCACATGATCTCAGTTGTGCCAGAAAGGAAATCAAAGGTGGCAGGAGGGCTAAAGTTTTGTAAGAAGGTAAACTTTATGGAATTGTCAACATAAATAACAATGTCTCCTCCTCCCTTTGCTCTGTCATTTCTAAAACATGAATAACCCTGTATTGCAATGGCGGAGTCTGGTAACTTAGTTGTTAACCATGGTTCTGAGAGCACAATGATTTTTGGTTTGTAATGGGAACACCAGGCTTGCAGTGCATCCAGTTTAGGGAGCAAGCTACGGATGTTGCAGTGCACAAATGAAAGGCCTTTTTGAGTGGGGAGATTAGGACTAGAATTAGCTGGGAACCAGGATTAGACTCCACATCATTTGCAAGGGCAAGTAAGATAAGGAATAGGAATTTGGACATCATTTTAGTTTGGCCATATAGTGAATGGGATAATTTAGAATTTTCTGAGGTGTGGGTAGGAGGGCTATTTTTTATAACTCTGTAGCGGGACCTGTGTAACCTGGCTGGTTATCCCCTTCGGTAAGGATAGATCAGACCCATTTCCCCAGTAACTGGAGTGGACAAAGTTCCATGGTACAACTTTGACAAAGTTTATTTTGGCACACAGCTTTTTATGCACATACACATCCATCCAACACAACACAATCTCATGCAGGAGGGGGCTGGGGAATAGATAACCATATCCCCTTTTGGGAGATACTAACAGGACACAGGGACATGCATGACTACACATTACATACAGGGGGGTGAACTTTGGGGCTCACCATCCTGGGACGGGAATGGGGTACAGGGTTACTCTTTATACTGATGAATCGCCCCGGTCCCCCTTAGGACCCCTGCAAAAATCGGAGCGATCGGAGTCGGAGATATCAGCGTTGAAAGTCTGGGGCTCAAGACATCCCCAAAATTAATTCCATGGTATTGCCGCCCAACCCGAAGAAAGGGCGTGAAACTCGGCTGCACCAATTGGTGCTTGGGGAGGAGAGGGGTTTCACAGCCCAATCAGCAGATATGACGCGAAACCCGTTGTCACCAATCTGCTGAAAGGCACGAAACTTATTCATGCTAATTAGTGTCCAGGGACCAGAGGAGCCTAGCTGCCCTTCTTGGATTGGTCGCCCACTCCCTGTGGCAACCAATCAGTGCTTTACTCACGCCGACCAATCAGGAGAATGGCGCAAATCCAGTTTGAATGAGCGCTCCCTCTCCCATTGGTCGGCACAAACTTCCATGCTGCCAGCGGGAACCCTGTGGCCGTGAGACCGACTCACAGCCCCAGGGACTCCCTGCTGGTGCACGTCCCTCTCTCCGGTGGGCACCAACACTCAGGCACCCGCCGGAGAGAGCGTTTGCCTGGGTAGCCACGAGCCTAGCCTTGTAGCTCCCAGGTTTGAGAGTGGCCAGTGATTATAGCTCCATTAGGAGCAGGTAGGATGGTCCCTGACAATGGGATCGTAGACAGTGTACGCAGGCCGGTTCGGGAGACGAATGCTCCCCCTGCTGTATGTTTGGTGATACGAACCGGCGGCCACCCAGGGGAGGCACATGCCGCTCATTACCTTACGGTCTGCGGTTTTCACACCTCGTTAGTGAGGTGTGAATATTCTAAGTAAACGTTCTAAGTGGAGTGCCGGGTGGTTGATACTTTAAGTCTGTGGTTTGGTTATTTTTGTTAGGCAGGTGTGAACTTTTTGACGAAACGTTCTAAATGGGGTATCGGGGTGGCCTGATACATGGGGTTAAAAGGTATATTGCAGGATTTTATGGTCAAAATTTCAGAGAGAGGAATAGTAAAAGGGGGAAACACACATTCTAGGAGGGCACATCCACACATATAAAACAAGGCAATTCACAGTTAGGCAGCGCTCCCGCCACAAACTCTCTACCAGCACTCAGCAGATAAGTTACAGCAACAGAGCAGGCCATGGTGTATAATAATTTGTTTTCCAGTTTGAGGTGTGTGCTTTTGGTGATAGTGATGTGAACAAAATTGGAGTGAGATAAGGGTTATTAAGAATAACAGTATATTCATATTTGGTGTGTAGATGAAAATGATACACAAATAGTGAAAAACAAAAATAAAAAATTAAATCAAAGTATATAATATTGGTGTGTGATATATAGCTATTTGTAGGGTTAAGAGATCGGTAGAGTGTGCTGATCAGTGTTTGCACCTGTCATTTCAGGAGAATGAAAGTTGTGTGGGAGACTATCTATATAAATGAGGAAATGAGCATGGGGTGGGTGATGGGTAGAGTGGGAGGGGAAACAGTCTTTCAGAAGGCTACCTGCTGCAAAGGGCAGTCGAACAGCTGATGGAGCTCTTGGTTGTTTGCTGGGCTAGGTAAATCAGACTGTGGGACAGAGATATATATTAGGGTCAGATGGGCTAAGGGATGGGGGAGCTGCATTTATGGACATTTGATTTAAGAGTCATTTAAGAAAAAACAGTGTGGAGGGGCGGTGCAGGGTGTATGTCAGTGTTGGGGGGGTGGTGCAGGCTGTACGTCAGTGTGAGGGGGGCAGTGCAGGGTGTACGTCATTGTTGGGGATTGACAGGGTGTATGACAGTGTGGGGGCAAGGAGTGTGGAGGCTGTGACAAGTCTCCACACACTGAAATACCTTTTTTATGTAACTCCCTGGTGGTCCAGTGGTCACACTCCCTGGTGGTCTGGTGGGATAACTATCCTGTCTGCAGCTCAGCTGTGTGCAGAGCTGTAGACCTTGTTCTTACGAACTCCGGTCAGAGCGTTGGTAACCCACGACAATGCTCTGTGAGCTCGCGAGAAGCACATAACGTGCTCGGCACCTGGCGGAGCTGCAGATCTGAGGCTCAGCTCTCTATGGGCAGACCATGTGGAGGGGCCCTGCACCTGGCGGCATACTGGGCAAGCCGCTGGGCCCCCTCACGGTCCAAGGACCTGACAGTTAATGCTGTCCTAAGGCGATTTAGGCGACCGCAAGGCCCCAGCTAGCGCGAGGCCTTAGGTGGACGCCTAAATCGCCTAATCAGAGAGCCGCGTATGGCAGTGTGTTCAGGGCCGGCCTTAGGGATGTGCGAGCTATGCGGCCGCACAGGGCACCATGGAGCAAGGGGCTTCTTGTGGCTGAAACAGCTCACACATGGCCAGCCAGGATTTAAAAAGAAAATAATTTGCGGCGGGGGTGGAGCTTCCCGTGCGACAGGGCGGAGCATCCGTGCAGCGGGGGCGGAGCTAAAAGTGCCAGATAACTGCTGCAGGGGAAGCAGGAAGGAGTCCCGGCTTCCCCAACAAACAGTCTCGAGGAGCTGCACTGCCTCCACAATGAATAGAGGTAACTATGTGTGATTGTCAGTGTGAGTGTGACCTTCTGCCTGTGTGTATGTGTCTGTGGCTGTCTGCCTCTGTGTGTGTGTGGCTGTCTGCCTGTAATTGTGTGTGAGTGTTTATCTACCTGTTACTGTGTATGTGTGTTACTGCCTGTACCTGTGTGATCTTGTGTATGTGACTATGTGCATGTGGTGGATTTGACAGTGTATATGTATAACTGTGTGCACCTGACTGTGGGACTGTGCACATAACTCTGCAAAAATATACACCTGCATTCACACACAGGCCTAAATGCATGTTTTTATCTGAATTAAATTACCATGACACACAGCCAATAAACCCAGCACAAATATCACATACAACCAATAGACGCATATCACACACTTAATACACCCATTACAAATATCACACACAGCCAGCACATAGACTACATATCACACACAGTCATCACACCTATCACAAACACAGACGGCACAAACATTACATCATACATGGATGATGGGGGGCACTGTGAAAATTTTTCGCACAGGGCGCCTAAAGCCTGCCCTGAATGTGTATATAACGCAGTTTGTGTGTGTATATAAATTGAGCAGTTTGCATGTGTATGTATTAGGTGGTTTGTGCGGGCATTAAGCAGTTTGCGTATGTATGTAGTAAGCAATCAGTGTGTGTGAATTTGTGCATGTGCTAGACAGCGTGTGTGTATTAGGCAGTTTGTGTGTGCATATATTAATCAGTTACTTTGTGTTTATAAATATGTGTGCATGTGTATGTATCAGGCATTTTGTGTGTATATGCAGGGATATAGCGGTAGGGGGAACAGAAGTGGATGATTGTGTATAAGCCATACCTCTTTTTAATCCTATTTTTGAAATGCTGAAGTTTGTTGATGTTGCAACATTGGAGATTTTGCTGTTGTATGCACTTCCGGCAAGCACTGATGTACTTTAAATAAGCCCCATAGTAAAGTTTTTACTCTCATTTGTAACTATGTGTGTGTGTGTGTGCAGCACCTACATTCAGCGTCTCCATAGTCTGCATGGAGGCACTAAAGGTTGCCCATAGAGATGCATTGATTCAATGCAACTCTATGTGAAGATGCTGATTTTGGCACAGTATGGTGTTTTGCTGCACATGCGCAATATTCTCCCTATGTTTTGCTATGGGAAAGCATTGACTTAGCCGAAACTGGCACGGTGTGGGAAAAAATAGTGAGTAAAAACACCTTTCTCATGCGATCGGAGGGGGCTGGTACCTAAACAGATACAAACATATACTCATACAGACAGACACACATATACACACACACGTTGACATTTTTAGTGCCCTCTAGTGGGGTTTTAAGGTAACATTTAAACCCTCACTTCTGGTTGATATATTTTGTATTAGGCACTAAGAGGCAGCATTCACTGAGCCCTCACCAGCGTTATTCCTAACATTTCTTTATATGCAACACAGAAATAGATGACTATATTTGCAAATCTTGGCATATTGTACAAATACATCCCTGCACTCACACACACACACACAATACCTTTGATCAGCTGGGTAACAAAAATAAGAATTTTAATCTTCTACTTCTTTTCATCTTTCTTGTTTCAAACAGGTATTCTCTAAACTGAGAATGCAAATTGAATACAAAGTACATTTCAAATTTAAGGTCAAAATAGCTGAGTGAGTCAGCTATGAGTGAGCTATGCTTTCAGTTACTATCGCCATATTTTTTCAATTATCTTTGAATTCTCCCTTTAGCAAATAATATTGTAAGAACTACAGTTTTTGAGTTTATAAAAGGTATTTATTGTATTAACCTTAACATTTATTCTGACCAAGTTCAGTTTCCAACTCTGAGATAGTTTTGGCAAAGTTCCTTTAGCAACCTTGTAACCGTTAACATTTAATCTGGTATTACCAAATACAATGAATATATTCCAGTATCTTGTTGAGTCTTCAAACTATTGGTTGACGTTGCATAAGGTCTAAACTTAATCTTTCTGTAACTATTCTAAAATTCTTGTCAATATTTCCTAAATACCGTCGTAGTGTGAGTGTCTTTTACAGCATTATTTCCCCCCAAAATGCAGTCTAGACTGACTTGCACATGGCACACACTCAGCTAGATGAATACATTGTACATAGATTTTTATGTTTTTTTTTTTTTTTTATTATCAGAATTTTTGTTTTAAATCAGTGACCTTTGAAACAGGTCTTTTCCAAATCTGAACATTTTGTGAACAAAAACTAAGAGCTGTAGAGGAACAATTCTTCTTATGAGAGTGTACTGTCGTTAAATAGCAAAAAAAATTTAGTTTGTTCTTTAAATCTTCTTGCTTTTTCTTGTCATTGATGTTGAGTCAACGGTGATGGTCTGGCAAAATAAAAAAATGTTAAGTTTAGCTCACAGGTTGGCATTTGAATTATGCAGCTTTAAAAATAAATTCAAACATTTAATTTTCATTAAAATTCCAGCACAGTCAAAATATATCATAAGACAATGTGGCTGATGGTGCAGTTTTTAGCAGCTTCTGCTGTGACATCTTGCTGATCGCCATCACTCGTAATGGCTGTTAGGAACAGGGATTTTCTTGCATAGTAGAATGGTGCATACCTCATAACAATGGGATGTATGGAATTAGATTGGGTGGCAATGCCCATAATAGGCAGGTCTGCGTGGAAATCGGGCAGGCCTTCCCACTGACAGGCTCTCGCGCTGTTGAAGTGCTCCTTGCCTGGTCTTAGTGTCCACTGCACAGCAAGAGTGTGCCTAATGATGCTCTTTTGCTGCGTTGCTTGGGACAGTTACCTGGTGAACAGGGAAATGAAGTGGAACAGTACTCCAAAAGTTGGAACTTATGGGAGGCCTGATAGTGAATGAAAATATATACAGCTTTCTGCAAACTCCTGATGTTTTGTATTCTAAAACATGCAAGAGTTATTTCAACCCCTAAAGTAAAATGACACCTAATGCCTGCTTCTGCCAGAGGTTGAAGATGACCCTATACTGGATTATGTTTGGTTAAAGTTAATTGAGGCACACAATTTAAATAGTCCTATTTTGTAAAGGTGCTCAGAAATGGCCTCAATAAAATTATAAGAACAGAGAACAGAACTCTCACTTATTTTGTACTGTTCCTTTATTGCATCAGTGTAGATGGGTCACATTTTGACTGCCCCAAATGGTCTTTAGCCTCACCTTGAGGCCTTGAGGCTTGACAATAGTATTGTAGTGTTGAAATTTTCACTTTCTTGGAGATTGTTGGCTGAATACATTCTTTCATTGCAGATAACGTAGGTATTTGGGACAGGAGCTTATTGTTGCCAACAACCAGGAATAAAGTGAATGGCTCTTTACAGGTTTTATGTTGTTTTTCAATGTTAAGACTTGGTAAAGACCATGTGTGCCAGTTGAAATATTGCCAACCTACAGTAATGCAATAAACGATCATTTAGGAATTTGAGTGCCGATTCTTGTTGATGGCAACACTATTGATGGAGCTCCCTAGCTAAATACCTATCCATTCTTTTCTCTCTACATGCTGCCATGGAAGTGGATAATCACTGCGTGGGGGGTCTTTGCAAACATAAGAATACAAATGCAAACACCCCACTTGGGACAATACCATTTTAATATTGAGCTATTAGGTCCCAAATCTGTTTTTCTCATATAATATATATCTTTGCTTTAATAATAAATTATTAAGCAAACAATGAAACCAGAAACATACATACATTATTATATGGGTTAGGTTCATTCACTGTTCCAAATAAAAGGTGCAGTTTTGCAATATGGTCAACTAAATATACATTTTATTGACACTCTGTGTGGAATATTTCAAGATAAAAGGATACTGTACATAGTCTAAAGCTGCTTTGTTCCTTAAAGGGATACCGTAGGCATCCAGACCACTTCAGCTAAATGAAGTGGTTTGGGTGCAGTGTCCCTTTTGTACTGTCTCTTTATGACCTTACCATTTAACCAAATCCCTTAATTTATTTCAATAACTTATCTCCTACGTTATCATTCTTTCTGAACTATCACTATTACAATATTCTAACATCACATTTACCTCCACCATTTCAGATTCTTGAATTTCTTGAATATGACAAAACTTATCACTCTTGCAGACTAGTTTTCCACCTTCCAGATTGACGGTGACCTAAAGTTAAAAAGAAACTGTTTTTGAGAAATAAACACCTATACAATAATAAATTAATTTATTGTTGTGATACTCTTTACAAACTACTTTGTTTATATACACAAGTGGGTTAGTTCCTATTCAAAGAATATATATAGTTCAGTTTGTTGGTGTATATTTAAATAAAATATTTTTTTTTATTAAAGGGACACTATAATCACCCGAACATCCACAGCTTAATGTAGTTATTCTGGTGAGTGTAATCAGTCCCTGCAGACATTTTCATGTAAACATTGCATTCTCAGACAAAATGCATTGTTTACATTGCTGCCTAGTAACACCTCTAGTGGCAGTCACTCAGCCACTAGAGGTGCTTCCTTGGTCAGTGCTGTACTGTGTGCAGTACTGATGTTCAGCCTCTCCACGCTTTGCATGGAGGTGCTGAATGTTCTTAATAGAGATAGATTGATTTAATGCATCTCTATGAGGAGATGCTAACTGGGGCAGCGTGGCGTTTTGCCCCATATGGGCAATAGCCTTGCAGTTCTCTCCTGTGGAAAATCAGTGGATTGTCTATTAATAACAGTCCTATAATCCTTTGTCAATTTTGATGATCTCAGCCAAGAAGGCAGAACGGGGGACTGCACAGTGCTGGAATAAACGTGAGCAAACTCACCTTTTACCTTGTTTACAGGGGGGCTGGACACCTAAGTAGTATTATTACAACTATAGTGACAGAAATACATATTTGTATTCCTGTCACTATCGTGTTCCTCTATGTCAGGCTTCTTTAAACTCCGGCCCTCCAGATGTTGCTGAACTACAACTCCCATGATTCTCTGAATGAAATAGATAGACCGAGAATCATGGGAGTTGTAGTTCAGCAACATCTGGAAGGCCAGAGTTTCGGGAAGCCTGCTCTAAGTTATATAGCTTAAATAAATAGTGCTGTTAAAAAATGTCAAAGCAGAAATATGACTAGAAATCAATGATTCAATGCATCTCTATAAAGGAGATGCTGATTGCTCAGGGCTGTGTTTGACTTATGCTAGCTCTGCCCCTGATCTGCCTTCTTGACAGTCTCGGCCAATCCAATGGGAAAGCATTGTGATTGACTGAGAGAATCACTTCTGATGATGTCAGCCAAGCAGGCAGACCAGACGCATGAGCCAGCAGCAGCAGATAGGAATAAAGGTGTAATAATATTTTACTATAGTTAGGGGGGCAAGGGAGGGTCATGGGGGCTAGATAGTGGTTTAACACTATAGGGTAAGGAATACATGATTGTGCTCCTGACCCTATAATGTTCCTTTAAAGGTTACTCCAACTAAAAACAGTGTGTTAATAAAACTGGCATGGTCTCCACTTGTTAGAAACTAACAGAGTAAAGAAATAAAGATAAAACTTTGGATGGGCTGACTACACGGAGGGCTGCAGTCCTGAAACGCACAGAATTGACATTAGCCACTCTGGAACCCTTATTCCATGCTGGCTAATGATGCTAACCTATGTGAAGTTAGATTTCCGACAGCAAATGTGTATGTGCAGTGTTTCAAACTGAAACACTGCACATACAGACTCCAGGCACTGTACTTCATATCACTGATGTGGTCATGGTGCTTGGAGTACACCTTTTAAGTAAAATTTTTGCAGAATGCTAATGTGCTAAAAGTGGTTCTTTTCTAGCTATGATTTCTGTATTTTTAAGTGGAACAAAGTTTAATGGAGCACTCGTCACCATAACAAAATTAATTTAAAGTTTAAAGGGTGAAACTGTTCACGAACGGTTCAACCCAAAGCCTGTCCCAGCATTGGATCTCCAGGTCCTCTAGCGGCATCTGGCTTCTGAAACTGAGCTTCAGGAAGTGCAGAGTGCTGCCAGGCAGGGTTCTGTTGATTCGCTAGAACAGTCAGCTGACGTTGCAAGCCGCTGAGCTAAACAAACTATGAAGTAACAGGACCTGTTGTCTGCTTGAATGCCAGGGAGGATGTAACAAGGTTAAATTTATAAAAGTGCCAATTTCTATTGAAAACTGCTCCAATATGCTTAGAATTCACAAGATCCTCACAAAAACAAGAGGAGATGAGAAAAATACCCATCTCATTATCTATATCCTCAGATTAACATGCAGGGTTATTTACTAAAGTGAGAATTCAAAGTGAATTTTAAATTTAAGGACAAAATAGTCAATTTGTAAATTTGTAAAGTAAGCTATGCTTTAAGTTTGACTAATCTGGCCTTAAATTTTGAATTCTTTCTTTAGTGAATAACCCTGATAAAGTATTTAGAACATTCCTTCAAACAATGCCCAGCATGCAGGAGAATACAGGTTTAAAATACCAGGAAGTGGATGCTGAATGAGAGATTCAGCTGTAGAGCCAGCAAGGCGCAGTGCCCAGCAAATACCAGGTAAAAAAATTCAGACAATTCTAAAGTGGTTTGACTCTTTACATTGGGAGCTGTAAGGGCACTCCTGGCATCATAGCCACTATAGAGAGCTATGGTTATGGTGCTTGGAGTGTTCATATTATCAGCCATTAACTGTTATTTGAATCAAGAAATGAAGCATACATTTCCTAAAGAAACCCTTATGTTGTCTTTAGTAGTCATGGGACTGATAAGAAATAAACCCTTTAATGCCCCTCATGAATCCATGATCCACCTCCAATCCTTTAACACTGTACACTTCTTCAAACTGCAACTTCATAGAGCATGATGAGAATTATAATTTTGATTTGAACATTTGCTAGTACTGTGAATTTATAAGGATTACCTTAATCTTCTTTCCATTAGGCAAATCAATTTCTGATTCCTTCCCGACAACGAAAGTATTGCTGTGGGTCCGGTTTGGAGTTTTTGAGGTGACAACAAAAGTGTCTCCATTTTGTTGAATTTCAATCACCGGTTTGATATCTTTGGCCACCTTGACAATTTCTTCTGGCAACCCTGGAATTAGATTTATGATATATCTGACATTAAAAATGCTTATGATAATCACACCTATAATGCACACATTCCCTCACACTAACCTTTACATAATACCATATAGGCTTCAAAGGCAAAACCTTTTTTTGGGGGGGGGATGGGGAATGTGGGGGTAGGGTAAAAGTCACAGTTTTGTTGGGGAAATACTTAAGATGTTGATAACCGTGTATCGTGGGAATATAATGTCATTGAGGGGTTCTGACAACATTGTAATTAATCTTGAGACCGGTTGAATAGTTTAGAAATGTTTACAGAACCCTGTAACTTAGTTTACTGTAAGTGTTAAGGTAGTGTAGGGGTTACGATTTATCAGTTAAGTTAAGTTATAGTGTGTTAGGAGGATAATGTAAGGCTTAACCTGTAGTGTAGTGTGTTAGGGTAGTTGATAGGTTAAGGGAAGAACTTTGCTGTAACATATATACATCCTCTATTGCTGCCATAGATTAGGTGGAGTTACACTTCAAGTAACAGTTAGTTATTTCAACTGCCGTCATAAAAAAAATGACTTACTTAAGGGTCTAAATCATACTACTCTCAGGAAATCAAGGACATGTCTGTTCCTGCTTTGCTCAAGATTATATGTGTTGTATGTATTATTAACTTGGTATTAGACAAGTAAAAAGTAGATCATGATAGAGATATATATATATATATATACACACACACACACACATACATACACACACACACAGTTACATAGCTGAAAAAAGACTTGCGTCCATCAAGTTCAGCCTTCCTCACATTTGTTTTTTGCTGTTGATCCAAAAGAAGTCAAAAAAAAAAAAATCCAGTATGAAGCACAATTTTGCAACAAGCTATGCAAAAAATTCCTTCTTGACCCCAGAATGGCAGTCAGATTTATCCTTGGGCGCACAAACACACACACGTATATCATTATATACATCTGATTGCCTTTAATGACAAGTTTATAATATATATAACTATATATATACAAATAGATTTTTGTGTGTAAATTAATAATAATATATTGCTGCTCAAATCAATTTCATTTTCACATTTCCTATGCTCTCCATATGTAATTTCAGCAAATGCTCCATTCAGTTAATAATAAGAATACTTACCTACAGACCTCAGGAAATTGTCATAATTATTTTGCTCATAGACCTGCCAGGTTCCAGCGAATGACATGATGTCACTTGGTATCCAATAGGGCAGAGCTCAGGTAGCAGGAGAAGAGAGGAGTGATAGTATAGTATCTGTCCTGCGGCACTTTATACCTGTTTAGATACATCATCTTACACATTACAGATAATTATTAACGAAAGAGCCAATCATTAATGCATTGTTTGACAGGTATGTGGATGACCCATAGTTCAGTGTCTGCCCCTCTTTGTTTATAATAATATAAGTCAAAGTTTTAGTTGGTCACTGTTAAAATAGTTCTGCAGAAAGATGCATTAAAGAGGTTACTTGACTAGGTTACAAAAATACTAAAGTCCATCAAGTACAATCCAAGAAGCCTATTCTCTTGGTCCAAAAGAAAGGAACCTCCGTCCCCACAATTGTAACCATTTCCAATTATGCCACGTTATGTACAAAATAAAAATTTCATTCGACAATCCTGAATTTCGCCCTCAAGCCATTGGCTGCTTTCTGTCATTTAAAACGTTATATAAAAATCTGTATCTTACATAGAAGTGATAGAAAGCTACGGTAAGAGTACGTGTAACCAATAGTTATAGCAAAAACTATAACAATGTTGCAATATGAAAAAGTAGCTATTTAGAGCTAAATAGCTACGTTTTACATGTACATCTATAGAAGATACATTTATATCCAGTTTTAAATGACAGTGATCGGCCATTGGCTGCTTGCTGTCATAAAACTAAATATAAATCAGTATGGGGGTAACTATGACCCCCATATTAATAAAAGGGAGGCAAAAGCCTCCCACATGCTCCTACTCGTGGCATGCTGCAAGTAGGGGCATGTCTCCTAAACATTGAAAAGTACTAGTGACTGAGCAGCTAAGTCTGCCCAGTCACTAGTGGAATAAGGGGGGACCTGGCCTAGGTCCCCCCATGGTGTGGAATACAAATAACTAAAATGGGGGGACATAGTGCCCCCTGCACCCTGACCCACGGGTGGGGGCTATTAATATAAACGGGGGACCTAATGTCCCCCCTGTTCCCCACCCAAGAGCGGCGGGTGGAGACCCTAAATAAATAAATAATGGGCAGGACCTAGTGTCCCCCCCAGGTCCCCACCTAATGTTATTTTCTATTTTTAAAGTTGCAACACGTATTATGGATTTTTATTTGGCCTTTTTTGGGGCTGAAGAAAGAAAAGAAGAAGACATCTAATGGCAAGTATGAAATCTTGTTTTACAGGGTTAGTTTATTATTAGGGTGAGGGGGGTAAGTAGGGTATTTTTATTGGGGGGGAGTGACTAGGGGCTTGGGAACCCCTAGTCACTTTATTATTTGTGGTCCCCACCCGCCAGTCATGGGTGGGGACCTGGGGGGAACATTTATTTATTTAGTGTCTCCACCCACCGCTCATGGGTGGGGCCCAAGGGGGGGACAGTAGGTCCCCCCTTTAAATTATTAGGATCCCCACCCGTCGCTCATGGGTGGGAACCATGGGGGACATTAGGTCCCCCCCTTTTTTATTTAATTAGGATCCCGAGGGACCTTAGGTCCCCCTTTAAATTCATTAGGGTCCCCACCCGCCGATTAATGGGTGGGGAACGGGGGGCATTAGGTCCACCCTTTAATTAATTAGGGTCCCCACCCGCCAGTCATGGGTGGGGACCAGGGCCGCACTGGGAGAAAAATTCGTCCCGGACATTTTTTTTATCACAGCGGCCCACTAAGAAGGGGGCAGGGCAGAGATGGTGTGTTTCGTCATCACCAATGACAAACACGCCCCTTCTCAAAGTGAGCATGTTGGTTCAATGCTTTTCCAGGGCAGACCATGCGCAGAACTCTGCTAAAGAGCTCTAGCATGAGAAAAAAAGCCCTGTATTTGTTTTTCACAGTGCAAACAAATTTAATAACATGCTTGCACTGTGTTTCCTTGCAACTTGTCTCTGGTGTCTCTATAAATGGATATCAGGAGACAAAAGGGCCAGGAAAGAGTATTGTGCATGTGTTTGTAGCCTGCTTGTGGGATTGCGTGTGTGTAGAGTGAGCTGATTGTGGTGTGGTCTTGTGTAATAAGGTCGGTTTTAGTCGTGTTGTGTTTTAGGTGTAACGTAATGCATATGTGGCTAGGGGCTGTAGAGAATGTGTGTATAGGCGATGTAGTAAGTGTGTGCATACAGGCTATACTGTGTGTGTGTAGGTGATGTAGTGTTTGTAGAGAGTGTGTGTTTAGGGGTGTAGTATGTGTTTGTTTACAATGAATCTAGTGTGTTTATAAGGGATCCAGAGTGTGTATTTTAGGAATGTAGTGTGTGTAGGTGGTGCAGTGTGTGTGTGTATACAGGAGTCGTGTGTGTTTGAAGAACCCATAATGTGTAGGAGATCTAGTGAGTGTGTGTATATAAGGATTCAAAGTGTATAAAGGGTTCTAGTGTGTGTATATGATCCAGAGTTGGGTAAGGGATCTAGTGTTTGTCTGGAACGTAATGTGTTTAGGAGTGCTGTAGTGTGTGTGTGCATATAATATAAATATGTTCGGAAGTAATGTGTGTGTGTTTGGTGCAGTGTGTATGTGTGAGGGGTGCAGTGTGTGTCTGTGAGGGATCTAGTGTGTATGTGAAGGGTGCAGTGTGTGTGATGGATGCTGTGTTTGAGTGGTGCTGTGTGTGATGGTGTGAGGGTGCTGTGTGTGAGGGTGCCACGTGTGATAGTGCTGAGTGTGAATGTTAGAAGGGAGTGTGTGTGGGGAGGGGGGGGTAAAAAATAACATAAGCAGGCATTCTGACACCATCCCTGGTGGTCCTAGTGGGTGAGTGAACTCTGCGGACTAGAGTTCACTCTCGCGAGAGCCGGTCATTGCCATGGCAACGCTCCGGATCTCGCGAGAGGAACCCGGCGGAGCTGCAAGATAGAGCTCCGCCGGGTCATCTCCCTCCCTCCCCAGCCGCATGTCTGTCCAAGTGGGCCGGTGAGGGAGATCTTTGATCTCCTCACCGGCCCTTCAAAGACAGGCAGGGGATGTCCTACAACCTCCCCTGCTGGCCTCGGCCCATGGCCACCGCGGCCCACCAAGCATTTGTCCGGTGTGCCCGATGGCCAGTCCGCGCCTGGTGGGGACCAAGTGGGAACATTAGGTCCCCCCCATTATTTAATTATTTAGGGTCCCCACCGCCGCTCATATGTGGGGACCAGCAGGGACATTAGGTCCCCCCCATTATTTATTTAGGGTCCCTATCTGCTGCTCATGGGTGGAGACCAGGGGAGACATTAGGTCCCCCCCTTAATTTATGCAAGGGTGGGGGCAGGGGGTTTGGAATTAATATTTATTACAAGGATGGAGCCGGTAGCGCTGCCGGCTCCCTCCTTTCTTTTTTTTCCTGCATGCGTACTGTTATTTCTCCGTGCTGTGGGGGTTAATTCATCTGCAGCACAGAGTCTATAAAACGAATGAAATGAAACAAAAAGGTAATGCATTCAGAATTTGCACTTTAGTTTTGTTTATATTTCAAATGTAGGGCTTTCGTTTATATTTCAGTAAACGAATACGAAAAATCCAGAATTTTCGGACAAAAAAATCGTATTCGTACGGAAACGAATGCACATTTCTACTATAGAAGTTGATTACCATCTTTAGGCATATAATCCCACATCTTTATTGTTCTTACTGTAAACAACTCTTTCATTTGCTGTAAGTGAAAATGCCTTTCTTCCAGTGTCAATGGGTGATCTCGTGTCTGTTTATGTTCTTGCTAATGAATAGGTTAGCACATAGCAGTTTGTACTGATCCTGTATATATTTGTATAGTGCGATCATATCCCCTCTAAGGCACCTTTTTTCGAAAGAAAACATTTCCAGTTCTTCTAGCCTTTTCTCACAACTAATGTTTTCAATCCTCCTTACTACAATAGTTTTGTAGCTCCAATGCAAAATATAGGGTTTATCCAGCTATGGAAGACAAGAACAGCACAACATAGTGTATAATAAAGTATTGGTGTATAGTAAGTGCCAATTGGCCACTCACACTTTGGAGCCAAATAAAAAGCCTTCAGATAGTAGTTGGTGTAAATCTTCTCAGATCTTGAATTTTATTGGTGTCAGTCTCATTCATGAAAAGAAAAGATAAAGTGTAATCAAATAAGACAACCATAAAAATAAAGTGCACAATGAAAATGTATTTACTTATACAGAAGTAAACAGTAGCAGGTGAAACATATTACCAAATAATCACAGGATAAGCCCTACGCATTTCATCCCAGTTAGGTACTTCCTCAGGGACAGTTTCTCAATTGAAGACAAAATAAAAAATGCATAAGCCCCCCCCATTGCCGACCTCTTCGTTGCTAGAGTTCCGTGACGTCATCACACTGCAAGCTCACAACTAATATTTTCCACCCCCCTTACTAGTTTTATAGCTCGACTCTAGTCTACAAAATCCTTCTTGTAAGCTTGCACCGCATATTCAAGGTAGGGGTCTTACTATTGATTTGTAAAGAGGCAAAATTATATTTGGATTACGTCTAAACCCCTTTTTTATTACTGAAAGCACCCAACTAGCTTTGGCATAGGCAAACCGGTATTGCAAACTGTTGCCTAGTTTGTGATCTATAATTGTTCCTAAGTCATTTTCATTTAATGTTATCCCTAACCCTTCCTCATTTAATGTTTAAGTGGCTTATGGGTTCCTTATTCCAAAATGCAGGATTTTACATTTATCTGTATTAAATCTCATCTGCCTCTTGCCTGCCCAGCCCCCCAATGTATCCAAATCCCTCTATAGAGAAGCTATATCATGCTCAGACTGTATTTTCTTACCTAATTTAGTGTCATCTGCAAACACCGACAAATGACTTTCAATGCACACTATAAATTATGTGCAAAGATCATTAGGATATTAACTCTATCATGTAGGAACCAAAAGAAATCTGGGAGGGATAGTTATTCATAAACCATGCAATTGTAAGCTGGCAAAATAATACACTATCACTGGGGTGCTCAGCATCAGCTCTTCTGGTGTGTTTTAGAAGTGCGTGCTGGGATTTGAAATCACAGTGTGGCACCTTCAGCCTGTAGAAGCTCTGAGGCATAGTGAGCTTCAACACTAGATTACAGGGGGAGCAGCCAGTCTCCTCCAACACATCTACTTCTTCATTCAACACATATTCTGGTGGAGAGTGAGGGATATTGAAAGTGATTTTGTGTTACTGTGTGTGTTTTAGTAAATTAGTATGTGTATTGATAGAGGTGTGTGTTGTTATGAGTCTATGGATGTCTGTTAATTTGTGTCTGTTTGTAAACAATATGAAGCATCTTGGGGGGTGGGGTCAAACTCAAATCTGTTTTTGTGAGTGAAATGCAAAGATATATGAATTTATGATTTTTTTTAACTGCAGTCAGTTACGCAATATAATGGGTATGTAATCTTTGGAACTTGAGATGTTGTGGACTACATCCCCCACAATCCTTCTAGATCCATAATACTGGCAAAGCATCAGTAGTCCACAACATCTACACTTTAGAAAGCCCCCCCAGTTGGCAAAATGAGTTGTTTTAACTTTTGTTTTTAAAGCATTAAAGTATGTTTGGCATTCACTACTAGTTGTGTTTGTCCATTTATTAAGCTTTTTATGCTTTTATTATTTTTTAATTTCTTCTGTTTCTGGCACTTAAAAAGATATCTAATAAGAAAACTTTGGATTCTACTCCTTGGTGAATCTACTTAACATCATATCCCTGGTGGGGATTATGCCACCCAAGTGCTACCATCTGATCAGGATCTACTGCTCCACTACATGTGAGTAGAATATTCTTAGTCTTGCAATCATCAATATATTGATTACAGTGAGCACTATTGTTTGCCACTTTTATATTTTATATATCAAACTACACATTGAGGGACCAGCCCCAAGATCTACATATCCATCAGTGGGGATTGTACCGCTGCATGCTGCTAAACTCAGAGCTGGTCTTACAGCTCTTAAAAGTGAGTGATATACCATATACATTATTGTTGTATGTCCTGCACCTAGTTCCATACGCTCTGCGCCATCAGTGGTTATTTTCTGCTTTAATTTCATATGCTCCCACCATTTGAAGTCTGGATGGTTACCAGTTGAGAACAAACTCCAGCAATTGTGGACTAATTGGACTTTATATTGGCGCAACCTATATTTTGTATATATTGTTTTCACAACATCTGGAGTGCCTACAGTTGCTTACCCCTGCCCTATATTATACCTGAAGGAACAACTGGTCCATAGGTGTGAACAGCACATCTCATAAGAGTGTGTATCCAGGAGTTATTTATGAATTTTACAAAGCACATATTTATTAAATGCCTAACTGTAATGCACATTTATTTTTGTTCAACTATTAAAAACATTAACAAAACAAAGTCAAAAGGGTGTGCTGCACCTTTAAAATACTGATCAATGAGTTTGTAAAGTGCAACACAGTGCAAATAACAGTGCACTATAAAGTGCTATAACTATATAACAGTGCACTAAAAAGGGAAAAAAAATTACCCAGATATACTAGAGTATAAGACAAGTTTTTCGGCACATTTTTTGTCGTCTTATACTCGAGTCACTGTCTGTATTATGGCAAAATTGCCATAATACAGACCAGGACCGCCGGGCTCGTTACAAGCCCGGCGGTCCTGTTGGGTGCTGGCAGCAAGCTGTAACTTACCTTTCCTGCAGCTCCTGTCAGCTCCCTTCTCTCTCCTCCGGTCCGGTCAGTCTCGCGAGAGCCGCAGGGTCAGAGCGTTGCCACGGGGAACTCACACCGAATTTCAAGTGCACTAAGTGATAAATATAATAAAAACTTACTAGTAGTCTGTACAAATGGAATGTCATAATATTCTCCCAGAGATATTTTGGAACATAATACATAAAAACAAAAGGAAAATATATAGTGTGATACTGTAACACTTGTGATAATAGAATAAATGAATGACATAAACTCACAAGCAGAGTAAAAGTCTGTTTTAGCTTGTATGGCTTGTGTCCCAAGCACAGGACTGTAATGTAGCAGATGATCAGGCAACTGGATACGAAGAAATGTTTTCTTTATTACAAACAGTAGTAAAAGATCACATATCAGTGATGCAGCTCTTTCTCCCAAATGAAGTCCATACCCCGCGGCTTTGTAGTCTTTAAAACTCGCAGCTAGCTCTTGTTGTTTTCAAGGTGCAGCACAGTGGGGAGTTCTTCCGTGAACTTAATCATCGTATGATCACGTGATGACATCGGACGTACCAGAACTTAATAACGCGTTTCGCTTGGGCGGCTTGCACAGATCACGTTGTAGTTTAATTCCATTATGGTAGGCGTGACGTATTAACAGTCACTTCCTGATTGGTCCTTCCAGGAAACCTAGGGCTGAGTAGCTATGTGGTAGATACAAATAAATCTATTCCACACTTGTTTGGTATATTTCCTAAACATTGTTTCTGATGAAAATTACGAAACAATGTTATACCCCAAAGATTACAACATACATAAAAAAGGCCGTGGCAATATATAGAAAAAAGAGAAACACAATGTAAAGAATGTCCTAATAAATAAATAATAAAAACAAAATATAAATCAAATATATAAAAGGGTAAAATACCTACTCAAAGGGGAGAAAAAAAGAGTGGTATTAATGTCAAGCATAATCTACAAATATATAGTACACAATATAGGATAAGATATATAAACACATTCATTATATAAACACTGATTATAAAAAAATATACAAATCAAACTCTATGTTAAGTCCTTTGGGTTCTAAGGTTTCCAATTTGTGAACCCACTTCATTTCTTCTTTTCCTATATGTTGAATGTAGCTTGCTCCAAGCCAAGATCTTTTTCACCACCTGTATCCCTAAAAAAGTTAAACCACTAGGATCTTTGTTGTGGTATTTTTTTTTTTAAATGTGCAGAGATGCTATGCTGATTAAAGACCTTACGAATATTATTTATATTTTCGTAAATTATTATTTTTTATTTTTTTTTAATTCTTTGTTTTTGTTGTGCAAGTTATACATAGCAATGACATACACCACAAAAGCGTGTCTGAGAATATACTTAGGTTGAACAGTGGCATAATTATAACAATCATCAGCTTGGCAAAGCAGTGTAGTCATTAGATTAAAGTGGAAAGGTCATCGCTTAACGGTGCAAGGCAAGCTATGCTAAAATATTTGGAAACTGTAGATTTTAATTATTGTGTTGAAACTTGCTAGTCACAATTTTTTAGTATATAATGAAAAGAGAACACGATAAACATGTGTCACTAAACAACAATGAGACAACAGGCTAAGCTTTAAGTACTCTGACTGACAGCATAGGAATGAGTAGCCAAGGTGAGTATCCAATACGTAAGCAGGGTTGCAGTTATTGCCTGCAGATCATTCAGTATTCTGCAACGAGCATCTTGGTGTGCTCGAGGTGACAGGTTATCAACAGACGCCACAACAGCGCATTTCAGGATTCACCAGCATTAAACAGTGGCATGATACTTCTCACAATTTTTATATTTTTCGAGTTTAACTAAACAGTTGTTTCGTCAGAGTGAGATTTAGATAAAATAAAATAAGGATGCTTGGTGCCTAGAGACAGCCTACAGATCAGGTAAGTGAGGGATGGGGGCAGCCTACAGATCAGGTAAGTGAGGAATGGGGGCAGCCTTCAGATCAAGTAAGTGAGGGATGGGGGGGCAGCCTACAGATCAGGTAAGGGAGGGATGGGGGCAGCCTACAGATCAGGTAAGTGTGTGATGGGGGGGCAGCCTACAGATCAGGTAAGTGAGGGATGGGGGTGCAGCCTACCGATCAGGTAAGTGAGGGATGGGAGGCAGCCTACAGATCAGGTAAGTGTGGGATGGGGGGTTAGCCTACAGATCAGGTAAGTGAGGAGGCAGCCTACAGATCAGGTAAGTGTGGGATGGGTGGCAGCCTACAGATTAGGTAAGTGAGGCATGGGGGCATCCTGCAGATCAGGTAAGTGAGGGATGGGGGAGAGACATCCTATAGATCAGGTAAGTGAGAGATGGTAGAGGTAAAGACAGCCTATAGATCAGGTAAGTGAGGGATGGGGGTGGGGAACAGCCTATAGATTAGGTTATTTAATTAAAAGATAATTACATTCTTACTAAAACATGTGATAAAATCATTAAAAATAATTTCTTCTTCTTTATACTTTGTTTTGAATTTATTAATACCTTTTAGGGTCTTATTCTTACTGCATTTGCAACCTGCACACTTCCCACATGAATAAAACAACCTTTCTTATTAATACTTAAAAAGGTGTAAGGATGATCTATTTGGGGATGATTAAAAGTAAAAATTTGTTTTAAACTTGGAGCACCTCTAAACGTAATGAATAATAGTAGATAATTCTCTTTACTCTTTTTAAAAGGTGCCAATGCTTATTAAAGGACCACTATAGGTACCCAGACCACTTAAGCTCAATGAAGTGGTCTGGGTGCCAGGTCCCTCTAGTGTTAACCCTGCAACTGAAAACACAGAAGTTTCAGAGAAACTGCTATGTTTCACTGAGGGTTAATTCAACTTCTAGTGGCTGTCTGACTTCCACGATTCTCAATGTGAACATTACAATGAGAAAACGCTCAATGTTCATAGGAAAGCATTGAGAAATGCTTTCCTATGGATGGTTTGAATGCGCGCGCGGCTCTTGCCGCGCATGCGCATTCAGCGCTGACGTCAACAGGAGGAGAGTTCCCCAGCGCCAAGGGAGCCCCGACGATAGAGAAAAGGAAGTGTCTGAAGGGGTTTTAACCTCTTCAACCCAGCAGGCGTGGGACCCTGAGGGTGGGGGGACCTAAAGACCCTATAATGCCAGGAAAACAAGTTTGTTTTCCTGGCACTATAGTGGTCCTTTAATGATAGACTTCATTTTTCAAGAATCCGTATTCAAATCCAAGACTAAAGGCAGCAGATTAAAATTATCTTGTTGACTATTCCCATTTCTCTGTTTAAAAACAAATTCATTTTAATCTAGTTTACTTACATCTTCATAGGCTTTTTCAAGTAGTTTATTAGGATATTGCATTTGTGTGAATTTCTCTATCACTGTTTTAGCTTGTTCCTCAAATTTTTAAAGATGATGCAATTATCTTTATATTTAATAGACTTGGAGATTAATTTCATTACGAACTGCAGGTGATTGGTCGAATTCCCAACTCTGAGCCCAAATGTAGCTGAATAACAAGCCAAAGGAAAAATGTATTGGGTTAGCATGCTTGTTTCGATACATGATTCAGAATTCCATACGTGATGCCAAATAAAGACATGATTTATGGGAAGGAAAAAAAGATGATAGATGGTTAGATCAAGTGAGAATTGACCAATAGAAAGAGAAAAATAGGAACAGTCAAAAATAAATAAATAAAAATAAATAAATCTATAGTAATATATATTTTAAAAAGCAAAATAAAAAAAACACACACACAAACACACATATATATATATATATATATATATATATATATATGTTGGAAGGCCATTTGGCCTGAATTTGTGGGAGGATTTATGATCCTATATAAACCCTACCCCCCTACTTACCTTTGTCGTGCAAGCTGTTTGTCGCCACCCACCTACACCCATATTTATTAACAATTCACCTTTGTGGGCCCTCTTTTACAGGCCTACTCGTACGTTGGTTTCGGCACACCTCAACCAACTTTGCTTCTCCTTCTACATTACATTCCATTACGTATTGGATAAATTCCGAGCACAAATATATATATATATATATATATTTTTTTTTTTTACTGCAGCTCGTTTTTTTTCTCTTACTTTTTCTCACTTGATCTGTGGACCAAGTAGCTGTAAATATATATATATTTCTTTTGCAGTACACTGATTGGCCCATTTTCATCTGATTCATATTCATTGAATCTTTCTATAAAATAACGGAATTTGGCCAAATAACTTCTCAGCAGCATATAGCAAACATAAGGTACTAATTTAACTGTTTTTTTTTTTTGTGTAGCAAAATAGTTGCAGCGTTTTATATGGATTAACTGTAATACCTAGTAAACATTTAAGTGAGGAATAGGTTAATAACCTTACATTGCTAGATTGTGAAATTCACAGGGCACTGACCCCTCTCGTGAACATGAGAAGGTCACATAAGCACTAAATAAACCTTCAAAACTGCATGTTAAATAAACTACACACCCCAATTTATGAAGTAACACGGACTACAGCTTAGCAAGGGTTGATGGGTGGATGGAGCCTTAGTTTAAGGATTGAGAAAGGGCTGCTGCTCAAAACGGTTGCTGCATTAACTGTGTCCTCAAATAAATTGTGGTAGCACCTGGGTGTGCACACCTATACCGAATGCACAGTATTTTTGGGTTGTATAAACACTGTTGGGAGTATCTGCAGCACAGGTCTAATTTTTTCTTTGTTTATATTTTGAATTTTGTAGGCATTTTTTGCCTCTACCTCACCCTATATATAGTAACCACTTCATCTAAATTAAAATGCTATGATGCCAGGAAGCCCCTGGGTGCTCTCTTTCTTTTAAGGGGCTAAACTGCTCTCAAATGGTTTAACCCCAAAGGCTTCCTCCAGCTCCAGATCTCCAGGTCGCTCAGTGGTATTCTGAAAAATAGTGTCAGGAAGTGCAATTTGACGTCAGGCATGGGTGCTTCAGATTGGCTAGAGTGGTCAGTTGACGCTTTAAGCCAATCGCTAGTTCCCGGTTCATAAAGAGGTTTTACTTTTTTATGAATGGGGAGCTACTGATTGGCTTAGAGTGCCAGCTGACCGCTCTAGCCAATCAGCGACACCCCTACCCAACAGCACTCTGTGCTTCCTGACACTCAGTAAATAAAAGAGAACACATTAACATTTTAAAAATTTTTTATCTGGGAAGATGAGAAGGTCCAAAGTTTCCCTGCCTGGCCCAGGTACCAAAGCCTTATGATGTGGTGTCCAGAATAAAGTGGAGGGTTCACTTCACTTGTCCTTCCTGCTCCAATCTCCTTTTTTTTCTCCTTCATTTGACACAGTCTTCTTTTTCTTCTGACATTGTCTTCTCTCCTCCTTGGCTCCTTCTGCTCCTTTACCTTTCTGCTACTTTCTGCTTATTTTGCGCCCTTCTGCTCCTTTCTCTTTCTGATACCTTTCTACTCCTTGCTGTCCCTTTCTGCTCCTTGCAGACCCTTTCTGCGACTTCTCCTACTTTACCTTTGTGCTCCTTCTGATTCTTTCTGCAGTCTCTGCAGTCTAGGAGTTGCTGGCTGTATGTGCTGCTCCCCTGCGGATGCAATCAGTAGAGAGAAGCAGGGATAAGATGTAGCTTCCTACCCTTGTCTCTCTCCATAGACAGTGCCACCTACCG